TTTGGGGGGAATTTTTTGGGGGGGTGGGGGGGAATCCCTGTGCGTTTGGATTATAGCGATAAGAGTGTAAATTCATAATTGCCATTGTAGTTGCATCTTATTTTGTTTTCTGAGCAACTTAGATGGAGTACAACAAAGACCATGAGATGTGTTGCCCCTGAATTTGACAGCTATGTGTTTTTGGTTTTTTAATGATATTTGGATGATGAGTTTTTCTACCTGTACATAACATCATTTTAGGAAACTTTAATGGATTGTTCCATTAAAAGCATATAAATACTTATAGCTGTGGCCTACATTGATTCTAAACATAAGAAATGTTTGCGCTGGTAATGAATGTTGACCAGAATTTATCACCACAAATAGCTGTGTACTTGAAGCTTCTGTGTAGGACATGTGCAGCTTAGTGTCATGGGTGTTGCTTTCAGTGCTCTTCTAGCTCCAAAACTCTAGACCTATAAGCTATTGCTTTTTGTTAGCTTTTGGAGGTCCTGTTTTACAATATGTAACATTCTGTGCAGATGTTTGATTTTTGCAGTTACGTAGGAGAACTGAAACTGCTGTGGAAAATGCTTGAGAAATGTATGAATGTTGTATATACAGTACTTAAAGACTTATCACTCGGTGTCAGAAAACCCTATCTATTTTAGTACGAATTAGTGTTTCAGGAGGAAAAAAAATCTAATGCTAAATGACTCTGTGTCTGTATAGCAAGTTTCCTCTCGGTTGATTCATAAATTCATTTGATTGGCTTGCCTATCAAGTGAAATGTGCTTAATGGAGGAGTAGTAGTTTTAACCTCTTCTCTTTGCTGTCCACACAATTGCAAAATGAATAAATGCAATGAAGATTGTAAAAACGTTAACCTATCTGATTCTTAAAGTAAAATAATGAAAAAGGATGTAAAAACCCTATTGTTTTCATGCAAATGCCTGAAATTCAGAACTTCTCACTCCTAGCTAAAAAAAAAAAGTCTTAAAGTAAGTACATTACATTGAAACCCCCTTTCCTCCCCCCCCGTGTTTTGCCAATACATTTGAAAAATGTGTAGTTTGATTAATAAAACATCGTGACAAGACTATGTTAGTTTGTAGAAGGTAATTGATAAAGAAACTAGCTTTGTTTCTTGCAAATGCTTATGTGAATAGCTATTTAGTAATAATGAGTTCTCCCTTTTTCTTAGTTATGCAAGCGTTCATTATCCACTAATTCTGAGGTAGGCAGGGATGTCTACCCATTCATTAATTAAATACTGTTTATTTAGCGTAGTACTTCCTTAATAAAGTACTAACTAAATGCGCAGTACCTAGAGTTACTGCACGGTAGCATTGGCGCAGTTATTTAGTGACACTTACTGCACATTAGCCTATTAGCACGGTTGTTGCCGTGACACGCTACTGTGCAGTGTTGTTAGGCTAATTTGCAGTAAGCATCTTGTGTAAATACGCCCAGCTATTATTTTTCACGATCATGAAAATAGATTTCTAGTATTTCAGTCCAGTAATGACTCATTCTTAACTGATCCATGTGTGCTCAAAACTTGTGATCTCATCAGTCTAAACTTTTAGAATTTTTACTACGTTTTAATCCCAGTGACTGAGTAGCATTAACTTCTTCTAACACGCACCAAATAGTTTTCCAGATAAATATCTACCCCATAAATAGTTTGAGAGAATAAAATCCAAATGTAGCCTAAAACCTAAGGATTTGTTGCTGTGTGGCTCAGAACGAAAATGCTCTCTTACGACAGATCCTCACCGACAGAAGAGAACTACGTTGTCAGTACAGAGTTAAATCCATGACCCATCAGTTCAGTAAGGATTGCAAGTGGAAATTCGTGCTCTTGTACCTTATTTTATACCTTAATTCTTAGTAATGATTTTTTTTTTCCTAATCTGATCTGTACTCCACTCGCCAGGATTCCCCCATGAAGTTGTTACAAACAGCACAGAAAACGGGTCCAATCGGAGAAGTGAACATTTTGAGAAAAGCCATCCCTCTTAAACTGTCTTTTTCATGAAAAGGTGTAGTTGGTTCATGGTTTAGCAGGAAGCTGAAATGATCTGCCAGTAGGTGCTGTAGTTGATGGTGGAAGAGTTGCTTTTTGATTCTGGTTAGGAGATTCGGAAAAGGTGGCAAAGTGTCTAAACTCACTTCAGTGTCCAAGGGGATTAAGCGGGGTGGGGATGCTACTGTGAAGTTCTCACCAACCCATCTTCTGTATTGCTTACTTAAGAACCAAATCAATTTAAGCCTCCGTTTTATGACAGAATGATACTCTAATGACCTGAAGACGCTGACATGCAGACAAGGGGTACTGAAACAAGAGTTTTCGTAGACATCAGGGCTGGAAGGGACCTTGGAAGATCATTGGGTCCAACCCCCTGTCCCAGGGGCAGGAAGCAGCTAGGATCAAAGGATCCCAGCATCCAATGTTCCTTAAGTGTCCTTTGACCCTAGCTGACTCCTTTTAAGTACTACGCAGAGACAAAGACTGTATAAGATGTATTAGCGATGCAGGGATCTGAAAAGGCAATGAAGCCCCAAAAGAGCAGATGTGTACGTTACCACAAGTGTGTTTTCCAATTTGCTTGTACAGCTAGGAAGAGAGGAATGAATTAGTTTAGTTTTTCATTTTGCATCAAAATGTTTATCTGTTTCTCCTGCTGATTTTTCACTTTTTAAATACAGCTGGATATATTTACCTCTTTTTAATTGAATTTCAGTCCTTAGAACAAGATTTATTTGTACTGGGATTGCAGTTCATTTAAAATCATTAGTGTGTTAAATGCAGTGCATTTTTGAGCTAGAAGCTTGTCCTGGAAATCATTCACCAAGGCTTAAACTACTTACGCTTTTGAATATTTAGTTCCAGTTCACTTTAGAAAGCTTACAGTTATAGGATGTTTCGTAAAATCACAGACTGATCCTTAAATTTTACAGAGAGTCAATATTTACATCCTCAAATCGTAAACCACATACAACCTGGTGAAGTCCCTTTTAAGATGTCATATAGCTTTAGAATTTTCATGGGATTTAAAATCGAGTTTATTTTTTGTTTCTGAACTTGAGAAAGCATACGGCAGTATGACAAAGGACTTAAATTCTGTACATTAAGCAAGTAGTAGTATCTTTGTGTTAAGTTGAGTTGTGTGTATTTTAGTGCTGACTTTCACAGGGCTCAAAGTTCTTAGTATCAAGGGATTCTGAAAGTGCAATAAAATACCAGAACAAAATGGCCTTTCCAGAGTTTGGAGGCCATTTCTTTGCACTGACTGGTTATATGCTACTGTGGAAGTAGTACCGTGAAAATATTTTTCACCAAACTTGAATTTTTCTTAACTGGCCTTTTCTTTTTGGCAAAGTTGAATTGACCATTCAAAGTTCTCTCACATTCTGGAAAGAAAGCATTTTTATTTTGGAAGTAACTTCATACATATGTAACTTCTAGCCCTGTGACAGCACCCAAAATCTCCTGATTTTTTGTGTCTTGAATTTTGTTTCTTAAAGGGGTTGTGTTTTATACTACCTTTTTAATAAACAAATTGATGAAACTGCTCAGCCTTTTTGATTAATATTTGAGAGATTGTAGTTAATCTAAATCTCCATTTATTTTGTAATTTTATAAGATGCTATGAAATGAATATAATATCTTGTGCTTACACTGTAATTTTAATGAATATGTGTAAATATATGTTAACACCCATGCACTGGTACTTCATTACCAATATGTCTGGTAATTTCACTTCTGACAGCCTGATTAAACCCAAATGACATTGCACCTTGCTATATTGCAACTTCTGTTGGGTAACTCATGGAGGTGATAGGTCACAAGGAAAGTCCCAAGAACAGAGAAGAAGTTTAATAATCCAGGATAGTCTGAGTCTGCCTGGGGAGACGACCCATTTCTCTCACCTACAAGGTGAGTGGCATGCTACCTGCGTATCTTGAAGCGGGTTAGTCTTAGTTTCTTCTGCTGAAGCTCGTCTGTTTTATGTAAAGTAATCATTGAGACCCAGAACAAGAGGAAAAGAGATCTATTCTGGTGGTTCGATGCTGCACCTGTGAATGTTGATCCAAAGGGGTATGCTGTCAATAGGAAAAGGATTGAGTGTCCTGTAGCTTGGTAGTGAAGAACTGGCTCTTAACAGCAGTGGACTGCTCCTGCACACGCTGGGTGTTTGGTAAGAGGGGTCGGTCCATGTTGCTGGCAGTTTACAGAAACAGTCTCTGGGAGTAGGTTCACAGTCAAAGCACTGGTATTTGGTGAGGTTGATCCAAGTGCAGGAATAGTTTGGGGATGATAAACAGGTTTTTTGGCTGCAGTAACTTGTTAATGGGGGTGGAAAACATGCTGTAACTAAAGCCAACAGAAGCTTTTTGTTGTATGCACACACATGTCCCTAGTCGTCATGGGCTCAGAAAGGCAGGAGGGGTGGAATGATATGAGAAAAGACAGCAAAAGGTTACTGTCAATGGAGAACATCCACCTTTTCTGCTTAAAAGAATGCTGAATATGCTATTAGTTCATTTCAAATGTAAGCATACCTGACCTGTAGGAAAATGATTTTACAAAACAAAACAACACCCAGTCATGTACCCATCTGGGTTCCTTGCCATGTTTTTTACTATGAAGCATTGACAGGCCAACACCGTCTCCTTGTGTGTACACAGTGTCACCAAAACCTATTTAAAATCCTATTTTCCTCATTCCTGAAACCTCCTAACCTGGTTGACTTGTCGGAGTACATTTCATGCATTCCTAGGAGCTGGGCTGCAGGAAACGCCTAGTTCAGTCGCAGCTAGAGGCTAGAGAGCAGTAGGGAGTTCATGAACACTCCCCGCCGCCTCCCACCCTCGCTGCAGACAACACTCCTACGCGCAGCGAGAGAACCGCAGGCTCCCTGGACACGGTTGCCGGACTGTCCAGCATGTGGACAGCCTTCACCAGAGGCACTCAATGGAAGGCACTAAGTGAAGGTAAGAATCCCCCCCACCAGGTTGCCCGGATGTGTACGTTACCTGTTCCACCCGCAAAAAAGCCTTTCCTAACATCGAGGCTTTTTTACTGAGCTGTTTGTGCGTTGCTTGGGAAAGGGGAACTTTTTTCCAGACAGTGCTTGAGTAACAGTCTGTAAAGGACAAGATGACAGCACTAGATATCACATTTCTTTGAGAGCCAGTTCACAGCGCTGCTGGGAGCTACGGCTTAGTTAACCACTGAGGCTCCCGGGGCTTTGCTGCCCAGAGAAGCTGCGTCTTTCACGGTAACCTGTACCGTGTCCCGTTATTAATCGAGCTTTGTTTAAGGATGTAAAGCCTATTGGGTTTCAGTAGGGCCTTTTTAAAAATCCTCCATCTAGCTTAAATCTCAACCTATTTATACTGTTTCAACCCGACTCGGTCCTTCCTTTCCTTCTAAATGCATTTTGACAGCAATATGTGGCAGGCAGGAACTCTAGTTGCTGCACCTGCCCTGCTGGCGGTGCAGACAGCATCTTTGCCATCCTCCCAAGAGGAAAGAGTAGGAAATTAAAGTGACACGCGACAGACAATTCCCAACCCTTCATCCCTACTCCCCATGCTCTCAGCCTCTCCTCATCCCCCAATCCCTGTCTGCATGATTCATCCTAAGGGACCAGGTAGGTGGCCTCACTTATTTCTCTCCAATGGCTGGGGCTTTGTTGTCCCAAGTTGCCTCTGGAAAAGCACCTGGATTCTGGACTAAGCATATATAGATAGGTAGTGATTGTTGTTTTCATTCTATACAAATTGTAATATCTGCCTAATGTTTAACTACCAGCCCTTTCACATGATCGAGGCATGACAGTTGCTTGCACCCACACAGAAAAAACATGCCCCAAAATTCTTGCCCAAGAAGCAGATTGCTTCAAGTACAGTTAATCAGGGTGGAATAGGGACGTGATCATGGCTTTGCGGTGAGGGAGAGAACTGGTCCTTCAGGCCAGAGACTGCTTTAAAAAAAAAAAGTCAACGCGTAGCGTGTGGATCTTCATGGTAGGAAGCGTTTTCTGCCAAGCGCGTATGCTGCTTTGCCTTTGCTGAACTCCTTTCTTTTGGGCTGGAATTTTCCATGCCACTTGTCCGTTTCCTCCTGAGCCATGTAGGAAAGGCTTGAGCTTACTGCTTCAGTCGCTTCCGAGAATATGACGAGGGAGAAATACTCAGTTGTACTGCTGTTTGAAAAGTCATACAGCTGCTTCTCTTTGAAGCTGTACTGTGTCTCTGCTTGGCTGCCATGACTTGAAATTTGGCCTTTGCTGTCAGGAAGGTGTCTTTTGCTCTTCCTGTGAAAATGTGGCCTACTCTTAGCGGGGGGGGACCCCCTCTGTTTGCGAATGCTTACTTGAGATGTATTAGTTTGCTGGGTAAATTCTTGGAAGATTGTGCTGTGTGTGCTGTCCTGACCTTCACCCCTCAGCAGTGGGGAGGACAGGAGTGTGCATGGGCCATTCCCTGGAATATGATCCATCCCGAGTCGGTAGGGGCTGAGCGAGGCCTTCCCTTGGTACTGTCCAGGGACAGTTGCGACATGCTGTGTGCAGTCACCAGGAGGAGGGAGATAGTCACTCCTGGACTTTCAATGCCCTCTACTGGTGTACCAGGTGGAAAGGAGAGGAAAGCACCTAATGCAAATGCAGAGAGGACACGAGCTGGATGGGAAGAGGCTGCAATGAGCTTGGTGGCGGACGCTGGGACTGGCTGGTCGAGGCGATCAGCAGTCCAGGTACAGGACTGGAGAAACAGATGAGATGAGGAGGCGGTGGTGGGAGGTAGGATGTGTGCACGCACACTGAGGGGCAGGAGAGCAAGGAACTGAGATGAGATGAGGAACCGGAGGAAGATGTGAAAAGGGATGAAAAGTCTGGAAGAACAGGAGGGAGACCAAGTTTATATGACAGGCTCCAAGGTGGAGACTGGGACTGCGACTGAGCATGGAGAGAAGGGATGAGCCAATGTGGGGAAAGAAGCAGAAGAATCGCATGCTGCCTTTTTTTTCCCCCTTCAAAAGGTCTTCAGACATATGTCTGCATGTAAGAGCCCCAATCAGACAGCCCAAGCAGTTCTGATTACTGGATCCCAAAGTAAACACTTGACGAGGCAATCGTTACAGTGGTGCATTTGATTTCCAAAGCCCCCATTATACAGCGTGTTCAGAGAGGTGAACTGGTAGGCGCCTGCCAACCGTAACTAAGGCCAGTCAAGTCATCGCCAAGACAGCAGACACTTATCTAACAGAAAACGAGCAGAGCATCCCAACCAACAAACAGCTTGTGCCTGTTCAAAGTAAAAGCAAGACGTATTCATAACTCAGTGGCTCCTGCCACCGTGCCTGACAGGAGCCAGGCACAGCCATTGCCTTGCTGTGAGCAATGTTCGACTAGCGCTATTTTAATCAGTCTAGTGACTGCTGTGGACTCTACTGGGTATGGTAAAGCCAGTGATACCACTCGATGTCTCCAACAGTTTAGTAGCATCTATAATGTTCTTGGTCACCCCACAGTCAGGTGATTGCCACAGAAAGTGTCTGGGCTGCTAAATCACAGGTGGGTGTGAATGGGTGGGGAGCAGGTGCTAGCCCAGAGGACACTTCTTCAGCACCGTTTTTGCCAGGTTAGACGGACACGGGGAGCCTCCCCAAGGTGGTCCCCGCCAGAAGGCAGAGGATCCCAGCCCATGTTTTGGATGACAACGCACAGGGCACGTGGAGCCTAGGCCAAGTGCTGTTGTCAAAAGAACCACCCAGATTGGCAATGGTGTCCCATTGTCCCTCCCTTCCCCCCCAAAGGTAAATCCTGAACATGCGTGATGTATTTGCTGTACATGACATACCTCCATCCCTCTACCTGCCATCTGCCCTCTTCACCTGGGGACTCCAAGGCCAGGAGCCTGCCCCCAGGTGGAAAAGCTGTGACCAGCCTGGCTAACCAGCTTCATCCAGCCCCTGCACAGACAACCCTGTGCAGTTACTTTCCCCACTGTGCACTGCTCTAATCAGAGCAAGCAGCTTTCCATATCTATGCACGGGTAAACTGGTAAAGTCCCACTGCCTTCAGCTGGAAGAGGATTATGCCCAGATTATGCAGAGCCATTCAGGTTAAGAAATGCTCCTCTTACCTTGTTCTCTCGTCCGCAGGCACGAATTGTCACTGAGGATGGAAGAAACCAGGGAAAATGCTGCCAATCTGAGCCAAAGCAAACAGCCTGTGAAAACAGAATGGGGGTCGCAGTGTGTTGTATTTACTTACTTCCATGGGGACATCAACAGTGTGGTCGACGAACACTTCTCAAGAGCTTTGAGCAACGTCAAGAGCCCGCAAGACCTAAGTATGAAGCACAAAGACCTAAGAAAAGGTGAGAGGCTTCCCATGAGTGCGTGCAATTGCTAAAGTTTGCACTTCACAGACCAGACTCTCTCACACTTCTCTTCCTGTGCGTAAACAGGCTTTTATACTTGTAAGGTCCCAATCACTGACTTGTGCTTTCCTGGGCAAGCACTAATGCCTACCTGTGTGGGGACCTGCTGGATTTCTGTGGGCCTGGCTAAACGATCAAGGGCCTCTTTTTTCTTTTTAGGAGTCAAGGAAGTTTCCATTCTTTTCAAATGGGACAGATTTGACAGGGAATCCATTTGTTATTTAAAAAAAATAAAATGCTCATCTAAGTTCACAACATGCTTTACATTCTTATTTGCAACTAGCTCCCGCTGCCCTGCAAAATGACTGATATTCATATTCAAGTACATGTGGTGGGGACTTAGCCTGTTTTCAGATGGATTCACTGCTACTTTTTAAAAAAGTAACAGCATCCAAGTGAATAAACTGTTTTCTAAAATGTCTCAGAATTTCCTTCAATGCAATTGGAGCCAAACCCTGCAGCCCTTCCCTCAAATATCCCCTGGAAAGTAATTTGGAATTTGCCTTGGAAAAGAGGTAAGATGTCCATACTCTTCTCTCTCTTTCTCTCACCTAGATAGCATGTCTCCCCAGCCCTGGAATTTCTCTTCTCACTGGACCAAGCCATATCAGTCCTCTCCTGCTATAAACGTGTCTCCTTCAGGCCTGAATTTGTCTGCTGCTGCTGTGCAAGCCGACTATCAGCCACCTGTTCTGCAGAGTCATCTGACTCAGCCTGCAGACTTATGGCACTTTCCTGCTATAGGCAATCCAGGCCTCGTGAGCTCGGGACATCACTCCTTTCCTGACTTGCATGTGATGCAAGGACCAGCCTCTGGTGGGAAATATGGTTCTCTCCTTGGTCTCCTGCAACAGGAAAGGTGTCCAGTGCCTAGGCAGGACCCTGTCATGAAGCAAGACTCCAGCCCTGCCTGTATGGCTGGATCTGCCAGGTTACCAAACACGAGTCAAAGTTTAACTCCTGGGGAAGGTAAGGAAATATTTACTGCCACTTCTGCCCTGATGATTCCCCTGCATGGGAAAGATAGACTGTGCCTCAAGGTGACAAAAGCAGGCTTGTTTGTCTTCACCCCTCTAGCTCAGAGCCTTGGGCTGAAAGCGTTTCCAACAGGCCATCAATCGTATGTGGGACTTACAAATTTTAGGTAAAGCACTGTGGACAGAGAAATCCATCCTGTGCCGTGCCTTGCACAGGTCCTTGCTGCTGGTGTTACAGAAGTTTGATGGCAAATATTTAGTGTAAACTGTAATCTGTTTGGGGGACTGCTAGAAATAACCAAGTGCTCCACAGAGCCCTTTCTACCAGTGGCTTTCAAAGCAGGTGAGGAGCCACCCCAAGCGCAGATGAAAGATGATGACAAAGGGGTGGAATGTCGAGAAATCCTCTGAGCAACCCGGCCATTGTGCAGGGCCTTAATTATGCTCTGAATATAGTAACAGAAACCACAGCACCCATTACAAACATGTCCACACACCTCGAGGTTTATTTCCCTCCCCTGGCCATGCTAGTCTCCCAGCCAGGCCTGGGGTTCCACAAAATGAGTCTGTCCTTTGTTCCCTATGTTAACACTTTTTAAATCTGTAATGGTCTATACAGCAGACTCTTTAGGAGAGCAATTTGCACGGTGCTTGTGACAGCTTCCAACACAGCCACCAGGCAAACCTGGTCCTCGTTGTTTCGTTACTGTTTGTAATGCTTGCGGGCTGGGCCCCAGAGAGTTTGCAGTCCAAGTGGCAACTAAACTGAATCACCCGCTGAGCTAGGTCTAAGGAGCTCAGTCTGCTCCACAGGGACCCACATCAGCACAGCTGTGCCTAGCTGGCACCACTGTCTAAACATACCTAGGACTGAACAGGCCTGTGGGTGCTAAACTCCCCTCTTCTGTAAGCATTCAGGATCCCAAGGGGACAGATTTGCTGCTTCCCAGCCACCTCCAGTCGACCTCTAGTAGAGGATCTCAAAGCACTTTTCATACTTTGTGAAATCCTCATAACTGCCTGGCCACATCAGTTTGTGGGCAAACAGGGAAACTGAGGCAGGGATTTCTGAGCTCACACTGACCAAGCCCTATGTGCACCCAAATTCCCTCCAGTCACCTATAATGCCCCAGGAAGCTTGAATCCTGGCTCTTACCAGCAGATCTCTCTCTCCAGGCACATTTTCAACAACCGGTACTTACATTTATAAAAAAAACAGCGGGCTGCAAAAGCACAAGGTTTCATGCAGAAATGGCCCGCATGAAGACTGCTTTTAGTTCTGTGCTATGGCAGCAGCATCTTCTCTGATTGTTTTGTCTTGTTTTTTTTTCCCCCCTCTCTTTAAGAAAGAAAAGCAAGTGCCTATCAAGGCTCAGAAAACCCTGGCATGGGCCTGGCTGGTGCAGGTACGTAAAGGAACAAGGAAGTCTCCATGCACAAAACACATAAAGGCCTCCATTTGACACACAATTATGGCTGCAATTCCTCTTTTGCTTTAGTTCCTTAAGCTGCTTACTCACACTTGCACACTCTCAATTCCTAGATCATTAAGACTTGCACTATTTCTCTCTCTTTTGACTTGTCTCACATTTGAGAGGTGGTTGTGGTCACCTTGCTGCTTTGGTGAGCAATACTTTCAGGGGGTCTGGACCATGTCCCAGCCCCAGCCTGTCCTCACTGATGTATTTTATTATAGATGGTGAAGTTTCAGCTTCTTCAGAAGAAAATTCTAAGAGCTTACACATGCTGTCCTGTACACATTTTGACTCACGCTGTTGCCCTGTTTTTCAGGTATCCACAACACAAGGCGAGATTTATACTTTTAGCCAACATGAGTTTCTGCTCTGTTCCATAGAAACACTCTGAACTTTTCATGATCTGCAGTTGTGAACCAAGAGCACTTGGATCACAGCCAACTTGTTTTTTTCGCCACCTGTCAATGGAAAGACTACATAATGCTGTTTGCTACTTTGTCAATGAAAACGATTTACTTCCAGTAAGCAAACAATTTCTCGCTTTGTGGTTTCAAACCCCACAGCCCTAGTTTCCTCTGTGTAAGGAAGTATTTGCCTACAAGGAAGAGCTACGCAGGGATCCTTTAACAGACTCCAAAGCACTTCTTTATCCCGCCTCCCCCATTTGATTGCCATTGTTTTGGTACGAGGTACTATCCTAGTTACATTGGGATGTGCCAAGTTAGTCCTACAACTTTTGTGTCCCGATATTGCCTGGCTTCCTGATGTGGAGCCTGGCTTTTTACGTTGCTTCAAGTAGCCCAGCAAAATGGCTGCAAGGGGACTAGGAAGGAGAAACGCAGGCCGTAGAAAGAAGTTCAAATCTCTTCATAATTTCTTTTTAGAAAAAGATAGGGATCTGGTACTTTGAATCTGCAAAGAGGACTCACTGGTTGTCATGCCGACATCCATGTGTAACTATATATGTATGTATATATCTTAGGACTGATCTGTCCTCAGACATCTCTTGAAGGAGCTTCTGCAGAATTTAGTGATCTAGCACTGTGGCAGCTGGGAAGAAATTTGAATCCTTCTAGGATAAGATGA